TGAAAATGAAAATAAAGGAAAATAACAATCCTGACTCAGATATTACTACATTGAGAGAGAACACCATCTGACAAGCTTTGGGGGCAGCAGGGAAAAGTGTAAATGTGAGCATAGCAACCAGAAAGAATCTTTATCCATTTACCTGTAATTTCTAAAGAATTTCTTAAAGCTTTTTATTTTCTTTTCTGCTTCTGGGCTTTTAAACTATACCTTTTATCTAAGGGAGAAAAGTGTGTCAGCCTCTAGGTTTGTTCTCTTGTTATTCAAAAAGAAACTTCATATTTGCATTTCTGTAATATTTATCTCTTTTTTTTTTGCTCAGTCCTGTGATTCTATTGGTGTAGAAGGAAACATCCTCCCATCTTTTTGTAACTTCTTAAGAGAATTGGCAAGGCACAGTGAGAGTTTCAGTAACTAACCCATAATTAGATAGCCAGGATGATTTAGATGCACAGAGTGGACCCAGCTCTTCCCAACTCTCTGGCTTTCTGGCTGATAAGGCAGATGATGGCTAAATTTATATTGGGCTTTGTGACTTACAAAGTGTTTTCCTCAGGCCCAACCTAGTGGGGGATGGAAAGTAGGTGATATACCGATACCCCCGTTCTAGGGAAGAAGAAACTGAGACTCAAGGAATTTGTCACCAAAGCCAAGTTCACAAGGCTAGTAAGTGGCAAAAGTAGAATTTGTATAAAGGTCTTCTGACTCCATGTCTAGGGTTTTTGTCTCTTAGAACCTGCATGTTAGAACAGATATTTTCCAATTTTCCATTATTTTTAGCACATCAATTTTTTGTTTTTTGTTTGTTTTTTAAAAAGACAACAGGTGGTGCAGTGAATGGAGCACTGGGCCTGCAGTCAAGAAGACCTGAGTTCAAATGTGGCCTCAGATACTTACTAGTTGTATGACCTTGGACAAGTCTCTGTTTGCCTCAGTCTCCTCAACTGTAAACTGGGAAAAATAATAGCACTTACTTCACAGGGTTATTGTGAGAACCAAATGATGTAATATTAGTAAACTGCTTAGCACAGTGCCAGGCACATAATAAGTGTTGATTAAATATTTGTTAACATGCATATTCTTTGACCTAGCAATACCACTAGTGGGTCTGTATCCAAAAAGAGATTAAAAAAGAAAAAGGAAAAGGACCTATATGTACAAAAATATTCACAGCAGCTCTTTTCTGGTGGCAAAAATTGGAAAGTGAGGGAATGCCCGTCAACTGAGGAATGCCTGAACAAATTATTCTATGTGATTGTGATAGCATACTATTGTGCTATAAGAAATGATAAGCAGGATGCTCGCAGAAAAACCTGAAAAAACTTTCATGGACTGATGCGAAGTGAACTGTACTATGCACAAAGTAACAGCACTATTGCAAGATGATCCTCTGTGAATGACTTAGCTATTCTCAGCAATACAATGATCCAAAACAACTTGGAAGGACTTGTGATGGAAAATGCTATCTATCCCCTGACAAAGAACTGACAGAGTCTGAATACAGATTGAAGCATACTTTTTTAACTTTCTTTATTTTTCTTGAAGGCTTTTTTTTGGGGGGGGTCTGTGTTTTATTTCACAACATGACTAATATGGAAATATGTTTTGCGTGACTATACATGTATAACTTACATCGAATTGCTTGCCTTTTCAATGAGGGGGATGGGGAAGGAGGAAAGGAAAGAATTTGGAACTCAAAGTTTTAAAAATGAATTTTAAAAATTGTTTTTACATGTAATTGGGGAAAAATAAAATACTAAACAAAAAAAAATCTTGAACATTTTCCAAAAAATAAATGCAAAACTATATTTGTTAACTGAATAATGTCTGTGCATAGTATATATTTTATTCTCACGTCTATCACTGCTCATAGACTTCTGAAGTTATTTGCTTTTTACCTATGTGAAGTTAGGGGAAAAAATTTCTTTTTAACTGTTTGTGCTCTCTCCTTATCTTGGCCCCCATTTTTTGTTTCTTTTCCTTTTTGCTCTTTCCTGGCGTCTTTGTCTTGCTTTACTATTTTCCTCCTTCTTTTATTCCTCTTCTTTCTTCTTTGTTTTCTTAGCAGCCTCCATATTTATTTCTGTCTCTGTCTCTCTGTCTCTGTCTCTTTCTGTCTCTGTGTGTGTGTGTGTGTGTGTGTGTCTCTTTCTGTCTCTCTCTCAGATTGAAATATATATTTTCCATATGATTTATTTTCTGAAGAAACTTTACATATACTGTTCTTCCTTATTCATTCTTTGTTTCCCTCTCAGAGTTCCATACCTTTGTAGTATCAAAGCAGCAACCCTGTTTTGCAGGATCTTTTAATGGCTACTTCAATCAAAGATTATTTCTCACTTACATCTCACCCATGGAAGATTTAAAAATAAATAAATATGATTCAATGACCCTTCATTAAAAGAAGGGGTTCTCTCATCTTGATCTACCCATTCTCTAATTAGGTAAGAATTTTACTTATCAGTGATTTTTCAAGAAATATATATATTTTGGGGGCCTCTGTGAGTCAAAATTGCAGAATCAGTAAAAGGATAGTATCCATAGCCATCTTCTAAAAGGGACAAAGCAACAAACCTTTTCCAGCAAATAGTAAACTGCTAAATAAAAATGCCAATTATTGCTCACCACTTGAAACAGAAAATATATCAAATCCAGAGTATAAGCATTTGAAGGATTCATTTTTTTCTCCTTTGGTGCCATAGGGAGACGAGGATTTCAGTTTTCTATTTGCAACCAAAGTCTTACCTTTGGCATTTATAGCTTTAACAAGAAAATGCGAGGTAGGATAAAATGTTAATGTAGCAGCCTCCAGAACTACTATCTCAACCATTATTAAGTGATGTTTGGGTACCTACACATACAAACAGGCTTCCTCCCACCAGTCTATTGCAATTCTTCCTCCTCCCACCCGTTATCCCCCACCAAGAGAGTACATGAAAGGACGTCAGTCAGACATCATACTGACTCCTTGTAGGCTGCTTCAGGGATAGCTTGTGTTGCATTGTGAGTTATACTCTGTCAAGGTGATTTCTATGGTAACCCTTATTTGCATTCTTTCAAATGGTGGTAAATTCTGACATATTCCATTAAAAATTGATAGCAGTGTTTCATCCACTCTTAGCCCACGTGGGAATACTTAATTTTACCTACTGTCAGAGGCTATTCTCTTGTGGAATAAAAGCAGTAAGTTTTTTACTGTTAAAATGTTAATTAGATTTTTATAACCATTTTTATAGTTCTGCTCTTCATCTAGATTGCTACAAACATGTTTATTTACAATTCCAAAATGCTCCCATTAATATTCTCTAGAAATCTGCCTTGCTACATGGAGGTTAGTTTAATAACAAGCTTCAGAAGCACATCCTGCAAGACATCTGCAAAACATCTGTAGACCCGTAATGATATGTAATAATTTTTCAACAAATGAACTAATCATCAAGTGATATTTAACAGCCCTCACCCTGTTTGATCACATGCTACAAGTATGACTATTTCATGGGGAGGTTATAGCATTGATGCCACTTGGTAATTGACTGCATGAACTTTCTCAAAAAGAGCTACACGTTAACATTATGTATGTTTATAGAGAGAGATAAGTATGTGTATACATACATATATATGGTATGACACTCATGTTGCATAGATATTTTAGCATGATTCTTCCTGGGGAAGTTTTTAAGGTTGTTGGGTTGTTTTGTTTTTGTTTCATTTGTTTTTTGAGGTAATCAATCAGGGTTAAGTGATTTACCCAGGATCACACAGCTAAGTGTCAAGTGACTTGAGGCTGGATTTGAACTCAGGTCCTCCTGACTCCAGGGACAGTGCTCTATCCACTGTGCCACCTAGCTGCCCCAGGGTTTTAACTAAACTCATACAACCAATTTTAAAGCTTTCACATACAAATGTTATGCAAATGTGTGCTGGTTATTTTTATGGTTATTCTTGGCCTTTTGGTTTTCTCTTCTGCTTTTATATTCCATTTTTCCCATGTGGGTATGGCAGAAAATGCAATTGCTAGACACATTTTCTAATGCATGATGGTACTAATCTTCAGTTGAGAAATCCAGCCAGAGTACATTCAGCTATAGAGTTATGCTAAGTTGGTCCCATTATTTCAGATGAGCTTAAGTATTTTTAGAAATTGAAAGGTCACATCTGCCTGTTTTGCATTAATAATAAGTGAAGGAGGAAAGCTCAGGATTCCTTGTTGATGAGGTACCAGCATGGGCTTTATCATGAAGATGCTCCCTTTGCCATGAGAGCCATTCTGACCTCACCAAAAGATTACAAGTTTCCCATGTCTCTATGTCTGAGGCAGAAAGAACCTCAGGTTAAAGAAGAGGCACATTGATCTCAGCACTCTGGCTTATAGCTGCTAGATTCATATTGAGGCTCTCTTAACTCCTTCAGACTCTAGTTTATGCCAGGGATGCAAAATAAAGTCTATTTCCCAAATTATTCATTTCCCAAATTTGAATTCCTATAGTCAAAGGAAGAGGTGCTAGGGGACATCAGTCACACTGTAAATAACCTTAGACCTGTATCAGCAGGTTTTTTCTTCCTTTTTGGTGCCCTTCAGAAAAACATGGTTCTGGATGTTCCTTAAGCTTCAGACCAAGGGGCTAATTCTTTATTCTGAATGAATGAATGAATGAACGAACAAATGAATGAATGAATAGCATGTATTCATTCAGGATTACTGCTCTGGAGGTAGACTGAGCTCCAGAAAGTCAAAGAGCTATTTTTTTTAAATGGATGGTCAATCATCTGAATTAAATATTTGGATCTTATTCCAAATAAATTCCAGACAATACTTCTGCTCAATTGATATCAGAAGATGACAGTTCATTTTCAGTTTGCTTTTTCAACAACAAAGGCTTCTGAATATTCTCAGGGAAGTTCTCCTGACATTGTGCAAAAGAACAAAAAGCAGAGTGATAAGCCAGAGAGAAGCAAAATTGTTACTTAAATAATGCCACAGGAATGCAACACAATCACACCGACACACCAATGTACAGAGAGAGAACAGAAACCAGAGCGATGCTTCCACCAGCTGGTAAGAATTTAATCTCAGATTTTTATAAAAGTCTTTTCCCCCTTAACCGGTAAAATTTAATGCTGCACAATCAGGTCAGCTCAGTGGGAAAGTAAGAAGGTAGAAAAGCAGAGATTACTGTTCTTTCAAGTGGAGAGAATAGGCCAAAAATCTGAGAGTAAAAACTGAAGATTTGGGAGAAATGATTTTAAAGTTGGGGGTTTGGGGGGAATGAAAAATGCCAGTAATGGTTATATAACTAGTATTCTTTGCTGAGTTAAAAATGAATTTTTTTCCTTGAGTTTTTATGCTTATTCTTATATACACCCATTATCAGGACTATATCGTGGGACTATGGATTTAGAGCTGGAAAGGACCTCACTTTACAGATTGGGAAACTGAGGCCTGCAGAGGTGAATTGATCAACCAAAGGTACACATTAGGTGGCACTACATTATAAAGAAAGCCTTGAAAACATAAATGTCTAGTCTATTAAAATTAAGTTTCCAAAAAAGTGCTGAACGGACTTGATTAAAATACTACAGAAAGAATTATATTAAGATGAATTCACACAAACATTATATACAAATCTACCTAGGGTTCAATTATTCACTCTAATGAGGCAGATTAGTGGTATGGTCAAAGAAAAGAGATAGATAATTCCAAAATATTGCTTATTTCACTTGGAAAGATATTCACATCTGATTATTGGAGTTCCTAATAGTCTGAGAATTCCCTTCAATAAATAATAGCTAGTGTTTCTATAGCTCTTAGAGATCATAGACCTAGATCTTTAAGAGACCTTAGTAGTCATTTAGTCCAAAGGCCTCATTTCGGAGATAAGAAAAGTGAGGCAAAAAGAGAGAGGAGGGACAACTAGTTGGCACAGTGCATAGAGCGCTGGCCCTGGAGTCAGGAGGACCTGAGTTCAAATCTAGCTTCAGATATTTTACTTATCTGTGTGACCCTGGGCAAGTCACTTAACCCCAGTTGCAGAGAGAGAGAGAGAGAGAGAGAGAGAGAGAGAGAGAGAGAGAGAATATCACACAAGCAGTGACTGGCAGAGGAAGAAGCTAAACCCAGACCTTCTCACTCTAAATTCAAGATTCTTTCCGCTCCACCACTTCAAGATGTATAAAGTGTTTTACATAAATTGCCTCAATTAATCCTCATGGTAGAGATGATCAATGAAATAGTTGAGATTTTCTTATCCTGGTATTATTGTCTTGGCTTTACGGATTAAAAAAAAAAAACTTACCCAGGTGAAAATGATCAAACTCAATCATAGCTTCAGTTTCAATTAATGAATCCCAGGTATTTGCCTCCTGTACCAATTCAATTCAAAGCCCCAGTGATAGTGTTAGACTCTTCCTAATTTGGCATTTTCTTAGTAAATACTGGAGTGGTTTGCCATTTCCTTCTCCAGCTCATCTGACAGATGAGGAAACCGAGTTAAGTGAATTGCCCAGGGTCACACAGCTAGTAAGTGTCCAAGGCGAGATTTGAACTTAGGAAGATGAGTCTTTTTGACTTCAAGCCCAGCACTCTATCCACTGGGCCACCTAGCTGCCCAAGATTTTTAAGCACCCGCAATGCACAAGTCCCTGTGATAGAGGATACAAGAATAAAAACAGGTATCTTAAACCCCCTTCTGCTCTCAAGGAGCTTCTATTCTACTGGGAAGTTATAACATATATGTTAAGTAAAGTAAATTAATACAAAGTATAAGCAAATTAATAGAAATTAATTTAAAGAAGGTAAGAGAGGAGGGGAGGGCATTAGGAAAAGCTTTGCATAGGAGGAAGCTTCTGAGCTGTACCTTGAAGGAAAGAAGCTAATGATATCTAGACGTGGAAACTGGATAGAGGAAAAAACTTTTCCTTATCTCCCCCACCCCATGGTTAGTGCTTCCTACCTCTTGATTTTTTTTTCTTTATAGAAGCACAAAATTTGAGATTTGTAAGGGACCTCAGTAGTCAACTAGTCCAAACCGTATCCAAAAGGAACCATCACTCTAGCGTACATAAGAAAAGCCTAGTACAAAGCTTGACACTTTTTTGTTGTTGTTGTTGTTTCGTTGTGTCCAACTCTTCACATCCCTATTTGGGGTTTTCTTGGCAAAGACACTGGAGCGGTTCACCATTATCTTATCCAGCTCATTTTACAGACGAGGAAACTGAGACAATTAGGTTAAGTGACTTGCCCAGGGTCCCACAGCTAGTAAGTGTCCAAGGCCATGTTTGAACTCAGGAAGATGAACGTTCTATCCACTGGGCCATCTAGCTGCCCCTTGGTACATAGAAGCCACACAACAAATTCTATTGATTGATTATACAGCCTCTATTCAAAGACCTAGAAGTTGGAGTAACCTACTACTTCATAAGGCAGTTCATTCCACACTGGGAGGACTGTAATTGTTAGAAAGTCTCCACCATCTCACACACACACACACACACACACACACACACACACACACACACACACACACACCAATATAGCTGAAATTTGTCTTTTTGGAGTTTCCACTCATTGTACCTCCCCTCACCCCTTCTGCCCTAGGGGGCCAAACACAACACTTCTAATCCCTTAATTCCTCCTCCACTTGACAACCCTTAACCTACTTAAAAAGTTATCCTACATTCCCTTCTTCAGGCTAAATGTTCAATACTTTTAAACCATAAACTCAAGACCCTTCACTATAACTTACCTTCCTCTGAAAATGCTCCTGTTTATCAATGCCCTCCTTAAGCATTTTTCTTAAATTTACACTGTGTATAATCTGTATTTACTTATCTGTGAATGTGTTGCATTCTCCTGGCAGAATGTAAGTTCTCTGAGAGCCATAATGGCTATTCAGTTTTGTATTTGTATCCCCTGTCCCTACCATAATACCTTGCACACATCAAGCTTGTCGAATTAAATTGGTTGGTTTCAAATTGCAGGCCTCAGTCTTCAAAGCCAGAACCTTTCCATTATGCGGCCACACCAGAGCACTGTTTGCTTTCTATTTGGCGTGCCCTGATTGCCTTGACGTCTGTCTCTTACTGCATATTTTTGAACCTGATTCCAGGCAGAAAATAAATGTAACAAAAAGCTGTGGAATGTTCTGTACAGGAAGTCTCCAAAATGATACAGGACAGGAATTCCTTGATGGAAGGAATCTGCAACTAAAAGTACTCATCTTACCTCAAATAAGAAAATGAACAACTTTCTAGGATGTTCTCATTTTACACTGCAGAAGCAAACTGTTCCCCTCCATTTAATTGGAACCTAATTTCACTGTACTAGTAAAACAAAACTCTTTCTCAAGGCTTTCCAAAGTGCTGCATTTTTTCCAGTGGAACATAATGATTACAAGAATGTTATTAAATGCATCTCTAACAAAGTCGTGTTTTGTTATTTGCTTAAAATCCATTCTGAGGCTGAACCATTTTACATCTGTGCAGAAAAATTTCTTTTTTAAGGCCCATTTACCCTTGGACTGATAGAGCAGCTCTGCAGTATTCTTGACTTCAAACAGTTTTGGAATATAAATGTAAACCCATCAGGGACAAGAGGAGCCAAACTAGAGCAGGGCTAAACTGTAGCTTTACTTTAGCAGAAGCGGACACCTGAATTAATCTCCCACTGTTAAGCAAGAACATAATCTCAACTAATCAAGAAAGGGTGAATAGGTTGGGTTTGAAGTTGAGTTTGAAGTTAAACCTAAAATTCAGATTTAATCCAAGCACTGTAATGGCAAAGTAGAGCTGAGTCTGGGGAATTAAAAGAGCACCTTGCGGGCATGAGGTTGGAGTGCTGGGCAACCCTTTTGAAAAGACTCTCTTAAAAAAAAAAAAGATAAAACATGGGACATAGGAGGAGTTTTGGAAAGTTCAGAGCTGCCTGACCATTGTGTACTTGGGTCCTCAGCACAAAACCTTTCTCTGGTGTGGCCATTTAATGAATCTGGTCCAAGTCACAGAGCATGAAATGACTCCCCAGTTGGGTTATTGAGATGCTTTACACATGTTTGAGGAGATTTTCAGCTTTTTATCATTTTCAGAAGGGGAAGCACAAGGCTTTAATTATTGTCAAAAATGACATGCAGTTCTGTTGTGCCATCTGAGCAGTTTCTTCTAGGCTTTGTCATCATCCAAGTGAGTACACAGAGTGGAACTGTATAAAGGAAAGTGTTGGCTCTCCTCAGACATTCAGGCAGGAGGCATTCATTGATTGAGGAAGCTACAAGATAGGAACTGTTATCTCTATTGCACAATGCAACTCACTTCTAGATCACTGGATCAGGGCCATACTATCACCAAAGCAGCACAGAGTTGCAGTCATTGCTGAGAAAACTATTACTGAGCCACTTCAGTCTTATAAATGAAACTATGGGAGATGGACGAGAGAAGTACGATGAAAAGAACGATGGCCCTGGACTTGTGTTCAAATCCTACCTCTGACACTTCCTGCCTGTGAGACCTTCAGCACATCTCAATTTCCCCGGGCCTTAGTTTCTTTATTGGTAAACTGAGTGGCTTGTGCCAGATGTTTTGTAGGCCCCTTCCAGCTCTATAATACTGTGGTCATAGATGGATGGCCTCTGAAGTCTCTTCCAACTCTGCCTTTGTGATTCCCATGATACTTCAAAAGGATGCAGATCATGAAAAGAGATGCAACTTAGAACATAATTAGATTTCAGTTGCCTGATAAGACAGTACTATTTTTGCTCTACACTAACTTATTTAATTAGAGTCCCACCTCCGACACTTACTAGCTGTGTGACTCTGAGAGAATCATTTAACCTCTCTGGACCTCAGTTTCCTCCTCTGTAAAATGACCTCTAAGACACTGTCTTGCTCTAATATCTGTGATCCTATGAGTAGGAAGTCATTATGAAAAAAATGCAATTTACATATTAAGTGGTAAATCATGGACTCCACAGCCTCACAATTCTTAGATATGTATCTCTCCAAAACACATTCAAGGGAAAAGGTCAGGACTATGCAGATCATTTTTTTAATGTCTATAAGGAATAT